TCCTCGAAGGATCCCCCGCACTGTTCAGTGTTCACAGCAGAACTTTTTGCCATCAGGGACGCGGTAGCATGGCTGTCCGTCAATCACACGGAGCATGCCGCGATTCTATCCGACTCGCTAAGCAGCCTCCAATCTATTTTTCTCACCTCTTCCAATTGCAGGTCAGAAGTTATTTCCGAAATAAGAAGAATGATCCACAACTACCAAACCAACAACAACCAGAAGATTGAATTAGTATGGGTTCCATCGCACGTCTCCATTCCTGGCAATGATCAAGCAGACCGTTGTGCCAAAGAAAGTCTGAGTCTGGAGGATATCGAGCCTGTAGAATACTCCTATTCGGAGTTCTGCAGTATCGTATCTTCTAGGATCAACCAGAAATGGTCTGACATGTTACGGAACCTCGACACCGCAAGATACCAGATTGATCCGAAGATACCAAACCAAACCAAACCAAACCAAACCATCCATGTGTAGCCATCTGCAAAGTGGCAACCAGACTCCGGACCAACTGAATGCACTGAACTGAAACCCGCTCGTAAGCCACTACTAGAGTACCTGGAAACCAACGGCATACCACTAACCATACAGAATGTTTTGGCTCCACCCACGGACCACTGGTATACGATAATGGAACTAGTCTTCCATTTTATAACCAAATCTGTCTTGAACAGATAGGCTAAGTTTTTTTTTTTTAATCAAAGTCTCTTAACACTTTTTAATTATATCCAATCACTTTAACAAGTTTCATCGCAGAAACATTAGAGAACATCTCTCCCCCCTCTTTCCCCCCTCTTTTTCTCACTTTCTTTTTTTTTCTTTTTTTTCAGGTCTTCGAGTTTTCCAACAGATAACAGATAATCTAACCAAACCAAACCAAACCAACGACTACCATTCGACTACCAATCAACAAGAAATACCATGATCAGAACGAGTTTGGAAGAATGAAGGAGACCGAGTAACTCACGCCACACCATTCAGGGCCGAGTTTCACCGCCATGTCATTCGACCCGACCAGATCTAACGAAGAATCAACAACCAAACCAACAACACCGAATCATCCAATTTGATCCAATCCAACTACCAACTACTACGACTACCAACAACTACCTAGTTTGCGATATCAGCATCCGCTGGAAGCGAACGTTAACTTGTCATCTACCAACCAACCAACTTCAGAACACAGTTGAGATAATTACCTACACCTTTTAAAACATGTAACGAGTTTGAATCAACTAGCTTAAAAACTGATGGTTTCCTCCAGAAATAGCGTTTTAGGTATTTTCTCCTGAGGTCTGTATATTTGGGGCAAACTAACATAAAGTGGAACTCATCTTCTATTTCTTGTGGACAATGTGGACAAACTCGTGCTTGATGCTCATATCTACCTGTTTCAATGGCTAAACTATGCGCAGATATCCGAAACTGACAAATAAGATTCCTAAAAGGGATATTCTTTTTTAAGTAATATTGCAGTGTGAATCTATTATTGAAATGTCTATAATAGATACTGTAGCTGCTGTAGTATCCACCGATTCGAAGTCAACATTCACAGTGTGAATACGTGATTTTATTGCGATATCGAAGTATACATATTCGATTATTCCGTTTCCGGTTTTGATATTTTTCTTGAGTGCGCCAAAAGATTTGTTTGGGCTGCGAAATTTGCGTAATTACAAAGGCTCATGGAGTTTTCAAGGCTTATTCGGCTTATTCGTCTTATCCGACTGGTATATATGGCTTAGATTGGTTTATTGGAAGCCAGTATATTTATTGAAGTTTAGTCAAGATAGATATGAATGTTATATTGTTTGAGTAAATGCGATGCGTCCTTTTTATACTTTTATAATAAACTGTTACATTGGTTATTTGTGTTCAACCTGTTAAGCCCGTCGAGACCCATGTTGCTTTGCGTCATAATGCTCCGGAGGTAGACCGCCCAACTACTTAAAGAGACATTACAGATACAACGACAAGCGATGTCTATATTGCCTTTCAATTGTTGTACATAACAATCCTTAACACGTTGTAAAAACTCGGATATAAAAGACCTAGTGTTCAAAGCTCTCTGTGATTTCCAAATATTACTAAAACTATACTGATCTAGAGTCCTTTAAACAAACTCCAACCAAATAGTTATGTCTTCAAATATGGCTTTCAGGACAGTATTTTCGGTGTTCAATAGTATAGTCCAGTATTTGATTATACTAATAGTGCGTGCTACAATCAGTGGAAATCTTCCCAATTCGTGATAACGTAATTGAGAATCTAACTCCTACGACCTTCTTGCAGAATCTTGTGTGCACTTTTTCGATTTCATTTCCGGAATGGTATCCCCGTATTTCCAAACCATACCTTAAAATTGAGGAGATGTAAGTGTCGGATACAGCATAGTGTGATATTGAATTTATTTCCAATATGATTTTCAAAAAGGCCACAGTTAGCCTTTTGTGCCTGAGTTGCTAGAGTCTTCTGAGTTCATATTCAAATAACACAATCGCCGACCTTGCTTTTCTCTTTTAAATATATGTGTCAAACCCTTTAAATTTTATATTGCTTCCACTTTTCAGCCAGCACTCACTTAGGAATATTAAATCATATTTTGACAACAAGTTAACAAAGACTTTATCATTGGATTTGGTGCACATATTTGGTGCAATTCCATGCACAGATTTTAATATCATTTACTACACTGCTACCAGAAAACCCCCCAAACCTGGTCTATTGTTGGTATAAAGATTACCATTAATATATAGTTTGTTGTAAACCAGGTTTTTTTCTCTCATCTTCAATTTCCTTAGGAAGTTGTTCATAAACTGCATAATTTAAACCCTAAAGATGCTGTACTTCACGTTATCTTTATCCCTTTTACTTTGAAACTGAATACACATTTTCCTTGATTTTTTAGCTTTATCACCAAACCTGTTAACTCTCTTCATCTGCAGTGTTGCAGTTTCATCTTTGGGCATTTTAAGTACTTCAGAAATAAAACATCTTACTTTTCTCTCTGTGTTCTCATAAGTCTCATTCTCTTCTTCAGGGATATTAGTACAAACCTAGTTTCTCTTTAGCTTAGTAGCTCTTAAATTTACTATCTCTTTCTTCAGATTTCTTCATCCATTCTTTATGGTCATCTCTAAAACCTGGGTTCTGTCAGCTATGTTTCTTGTCTCTTGGGCCATATATCCCATGTCATCCCTCAAGCCTCTCATATCTCAGTTGTTCGAGTTTCTGGTTAATACTTTCAATTCTATTGATAATGTCCCGTGCCCAGAAAGGTACCTTAGAACTTTGCTCATGTAGGTTTCCTTGCCGGTTTTTGGATACTGTGAGGCGAAAATTTATTAAATCAAGCTAAAGTTCAGTAACTGGTCAAAGCATATTCCAATATATAATGGCTAATGGTCAAAATAAGGTAAAACTAGACGAACTTAATGTACGCTTCAATGAAAAAAACCACTGACTAAATACAATCATTACTGCAAAGTTTTGGTTTTGGTGTGATCTGAGTTCATGTTCATTATCATATAATATTGAGTTGTCCCCCTTTATATATTTCCATTATATTTTCGAGAGCAAAGTCAGCTACAATTTGATTTGATTGAATTGTGCCAGGGAGCTTATTTTATACAAATCATACATTTCACTTTCATTGCACGAGAGAGCCCGCAAAATTTGCTGTGTTATTTTTTGTGGAGCTACGAACCGTTTTGTGTTATTTTTTGTGTTATTGTTATTCCGTTATATGAAATCGTAAAAAGATTCCTTGCGATTTTTTGTGTTTTTTTAGCATTCTGATTATAATGTAAATGTTCCGTTTCGGATCATCAGCGCACTTTTCACTGTGTTTTTGATTGATAAGCAAAATATCATACTACTGATGCCATTCGGTCAAATTTAGTCTGAATATGGAGAGTCTTTGGAAGTTTCACAAAGCTCATAAAGTTCTGGACACACATAGATTTAAAGGTTCATATTTCGACGATGAGCTGTGAACACTTTTATAGATTAGCTTGGTTAAAACATTAGTCAGACCATGGTAATGATTGGTCAAAATGAATCACTCAACTATTCCTTTAATCTTTATCAAAAAAAGAATTTTTGTCAGTTTGAAAACCCTTTGAAAAATAGACATCTAAAAATACACGAAGTAAATCAATGCCAACTCCCGTTTGACAAATCAGATCTTAGTCTCAGAAACGGGATATGGGCCTTCGAAGCCATGTGTGTAACGAATTATCCACGTTTTAAAGTATAAGGTAAATTTGAAATTATTATGTAATTAACCCATGATCTATATGTTCAAAGCTTAGCATTGTGCAAATATGTGGAATTTTGAAGCTGAAATTTAATTCTCTGTAAAAAAAAAGCAGAAATTCTGTATTTTGCCTATGGTTTTCTTGATCAAAAGGAACTATGTTCGACCTATATTGGACAGGAGACCAACATTAATAACTAATATAAAAACCTATATTATTCATTATCTATAGACATCATCTACATTTCCAGACACGAACTTCCAAGTCCAATTGACTT